GATGAGCGTTGACGTGCACGAATTTTGAAGCATAGCAAAAGTTACTGATGATCACAGTTGAGGTTCAACTAACTCCCCTATCGTAAGGTCCACGTTGCCAACGACCTAGCAACGCCATCGCCATGACTGGAGAGCAACAAGGGAAGGAGATAGATGGATGCCAATATGAGCTCGTCGCGCGGAACGCCAGTTCCCGGACAGAGCACCAACACGTGGTTTACCGCGCGTTCCAACCAAGTTGGGGAATTTTTACGAGAGCAACGTGACACCCAACACAACAACCACCTATGCCATGCTCAAGTACTCACTTTGATGCAATCAACAATACCAAAACATGCAGCTAGTGTTTAAACATTTTTGTTAGAAATTAAATGTCAAAATAGTATTGTCTTACTACTTTTCCATACTTAGGAAGTTAAGGATTTCTATTGAGGCTAAGTAACCATTAACTCTTTTGTTGTAATTTTTAATAGATCTAAACATTGTTAACTTCAACCAACAAATACTTCATGCAATAGTCCAAACCTTATACTAACCCGTAGGAGCAAAATATTTAAGCACCATTTAACTATTTTGCTCAATATAATTCGTCAAAAATAGTATTTTAACAATAGTTTAAGTGTTTGCCGACTTAACGAAAAGAGCTTATCTTAACGTCAAATTTGATTTTTGAGCTCCCAAAACACTAGTTAACAACATCTATTTTTCAAAAGTTAAAATTGCATTTCCATCTACTAAATTTATACTTCAATTTTTATTTAAGTACTAAATACAAGTTATGTTCGATCATTGTTCCTAGAAATTATTTTTTGCCTCACGTGCGTTATAACTTTTTAATGCTAAGCAAATTCGTAACACCAGGGGTGTTACAGTTCGCCAGCCGTCCCGTGCGACGTGGTCCTTGCCGTGGTCTTTGTCATCGCCTCCTGGTTTCCTAGGGCGTCGTACAGAAGTTGGTAGTCGCCCCCGGGTCGTTGGTCGTCCTGTTAGCTGGAGGAGCTGAGGGCCACGATCCCGATCATTGGGTCGTGGCTCTCATTGGTCTGGGTGGCCTCTAAGTCAAGGCCTTCGTCGTGGATCCCATCCCGTAGTGGGTGGAGTCGTACATGCATCTTGTCGGGTAGTATTTGACCGGTGGTTATCGTACCGGTCATCACCGCCGTGTGGTGTTGTCTTGTCTGAACTGCGTGGCGCAGGGGTGATGTTTGACCAGGCCGAGGTGACCGTTGTCCCCCTCGGTCCTTGTGGGGTTAGTGCGGCGTGCTTGTTCTTGTCAGAGCATGCACGTCTGGCTGTGCTCGACCTCTCCCTGTTCCTCTCAGGGGTTGGGATGGCGGAGAGGTCATGAGTTTCTTGCGCGTCGTGTGGCTAAGACAGAGGGAGAGGTCGTGGCTGGCCTTGGCGTCGGGCCTGTTCTGTTTGGCTTAGCTAGGCCTCGGTCGTTCGGGCCTTCGCTGATTGATGCGTTCATGGCTGCTTGGCCCGCTAACTAGTCGGTGCCTTGAGACATCCCAAGGTTATAACCCCGACACCCGCCTTCATTAAAGTTATTGCAGTAGTGTTTAGTAACTAAAATGAGTAATTCATCTAAAGTTATAATTTATCTAAATTATATGTCATGGATATTACTATAACTTTAAATAATTTGTTGATATGTATCATTCTTGTATGAGTTATTAAGGAAATAATTTTTTCATGATCGCTAAACACAAAACTTATACATTTATCACTCATGCATGCAATATGTATGCATAATACCACAACATATATCTCTACTATAAGAGACCAATCCAAATTACACTTAGTCCACCTAGAAAATTGTCCCCCATAGAGATGGCATTTCCTCCATCCACACAGAAATTTGCACCAGAAAAACCCCTGTTCTATCTTTTTTCCCAACATGATTTGCATCAGCATCTGAAAATGTCTATCATCACCACATAACTCCCTGTTAAGTCATAATTCCAGTATTGGTCAGTCACAGGATGACATGAACAATTTACAACTCAAATAACCATTTGATTCAATTTTTGCTGAAATGTTTAAAAGAACCTTGTCCGTGATATCATCAGACTCGGGGTGGCTGCTCTTGCGCCCTGGCGGCCAACTGAACCATTGATAAACATAGGTAAGGTGAAACAGAAGAGACAAGACAAATTAAGCTAAACAGGGAGAGGAGAGATATTAGAGGGACAACCCTGAGGAAGATGGTGACTTGTGAGAAGGGCAGGTTGAGGTACTCCATTATTTTTCAGCACTGCTTTAGACTTGATGTAGGGCGTACCCAGTGCAGAAAGCTCCCACTCTGTACGGGGTCTGGGGAAGGGTGTCAGTGGCAAGCCATGTAGGACCTGCAAAAAATCATATTACAGTAATCATCAATAAAAAAATCTTCAAGAAAGCTAATGGTTGGTCACCTGTGTTTCTCGATGAGAACAGCACTGGAGATGTTGTTAGGGGATCTACCTGACCTCTGCAGGAGCATCCTCCCTGACTTGGTGTTGTTTGACAATAATGATTTCTTAGGCAGTTTGATAACAATGATTTCTTAGGATTGAAACTTATAATTATATACTTACATGTATGATATTTTCAGGCTTTTTGTTGTACGGGGATGAAACGATATTATCTGTAGGATTTGAAACAACAGTACCAATGGCACCAGAGATAACCAGACAAGTAGCACCAAGCTGCTGGATTGTTGGTGCCCGTGCTAACGCCACGGCAACATAGGGATGCATCAAAGTGGAAATTAATTTATGATGGCTATTCAATTTACCGCGCTTCAAAGTGGAAAGAAGTATCAAGAGTATATGATATGGTAACACACAGGTAAAGGGAATAAAGGGAACACAGGAATAAGGGAACATCAAATTACCTGATCTTATTTCTTGAACACAGGTAAAGGAAGATGACATGACAGGAAAAAAAAACAATTGCACTAACTAAGCTCTAAGCATATGGAACCAAAAGCATACTCTATTAGAGTTGTTCTGCATCAAAGAGCACTGAAGTTTTCAGAACCATATACTGAATGGTAATGCTTCTGGAATTTAATAACTGAATATATATACAAACTTGCACAATTCAAAAAAAAGTTAAGCATATATATCCACTTGAGATCATATCACTGAGGTACGTGGGTAGTACTATTACTGAGAAAAAAATATGTCCATCTATAATAGAAGAATCTCAGACTAAGAAATCAATTTATGAATCTATAGGTTTATATCGGTAACACCATGGAGGATCTAACAAGGTGCTGACAGGATGAAGACAACAAGATTGACCTTGCAACCAAGTCCTAAGGGGCTCTACAAACTCTGAAAACCACATCTCAGCAAGTATGTTGAGGGCATCAACGCCAGTTTGCCTCTTTAATTCCTTGCATATATCATTGGTTGATTATACTGACACTGGAAGTATGTTCTCCAGCTGCATAAATCAGGAGCCTCCAGATTACAGTATGCAAGACATACAGATATAGCAAAACTTCGTGTATCCACCTCAGTACATATTCATTGTGGTCTGTTAAGCAACTGAAGGAAAGATTTGTCTGGCAATTTCATGTTACCCCCCTGACACACCCTGATTTTCTTCCTCAAATCTGTAGCTTGGCTTCACTGGTCTAGTGTTGTGCTGAAACTCATAATACTTGCTGCTCGGCTGGACTTGCTTGCACAACTAAAAATTTTGTTTTTTAAAAAATAATCTTCACTGGTCTAGTGTTGTGCTGAACCTTTTTTGTGACTTAGCACGTCTGAGAATTTTTTAAGGTATTGGGAGCGATTTTTTGCCTTTTATATTCAGTAATACTACAGCCCTTAAGAAATATTTAGGTACTGATGCCTTCATCTCAAGTCATACTGCGACATTAATTTGGGTTATGTTCATCTCAGAAAATATGAATCGAATACAAAGACATGAAATACAAATGTACTGAGACAAGGCAAACACACAGACTGGAGAAGCAGACTGGAGAACACAGAGACAGGAGAAGCATCCGATCCATGTAATCGACTAATCAAGGAAACAGAGGAATAATTTGAACCCACGAGAACAAGAGATGCGGATCTGAAAGGATTCGAAAGGAGGGGAAATAACTAACCAATCGAGCTGCACGAAGGACCACCACACATCAGGAGTAGCTGCCGCCGCCGATTGGGATTTTATATCCATCAGCACTGCGCATCAGCGACCCCTCGCTGCCGCCATCGGCTATCGGTATTCTGCCACCGCCAGCACGGTGCTTATTAGAGCCGCCACCGATCCGAGGGCTAGCAGCAGCCATTGGCACCGTGCCCCATACTTGATCCAATTAACCAAAACAAATGGATGGATCAGTGTTGGTGGATGTTGGAACTGATGCCTAAAAGATCAAGACGTGAGAGGAAGAAGAGGGATTTCTGCCTAGAAGATGCAGATGTGACTTTGAGGAAGGGTTGCGGCGCTGTGCGCGGACGCTTCCGCTGCTTCCTCTCCGTTGCATCCGCCTTGATGCCGTCGTCCAGTAGGCAACGGAACCCGTCGCCCCTCCTCGCCACGAGCATCTCCCTCAAGCCCTCAAGCCCGCCGTCCTCCCCTTCCCAACTGCGCGGGGTTGCCACGCCGCGGGCGTCGGCGTCCCAGGGTCGCCCACGAGTGCGCGGTACTTCGCGGCAGCCGCATGGAAGCGGATCTCCTCCTCCTCGTCCGCGCCAATCTCCTCGTCACACGGACTGAGGGACGCAGCACCGGCTGCAGGGGGTGGCAGATCCAGGCCACCACCGCCGCCGGGGGCGGGCACCGGCTGACCGCCTGGCCGCAGCTGCTCTGGTTGGCGACGGGAGGGACGGGCGGTGTCACCAGGACGCCGAGCTAGGGGACGGGAAGGAGTCACCAGGACGCCTGGCCGCAGCTGGCGTTTGTTTCCTTTTACACGGACGGGAGCGTTGAAGCCTCCGTGATGAGTCTCAAGTTTTTAATTATAGTAGAGATGAATCATCAAAAAGCAGAAACAATCAGGCGGAGGCAGAGGCTGGGGTGGAGGCGTTGGGGCAGGCCTCGAGGATTCCCAGGCATCGGAGGCGTTGGAGGTGGAGCGCGAGGATTCCCAACAATTTGGATGCCTCCGCGACGGCCCGTCCCCGTTGAGCTCGCCAGCCAGGTCTCCCCAGATCCCCTCCCTGGCTCCCCCAAATCCCGCGCCGTCCTCCCGTGACCGTGAGAGGACCGTTCACCGCCCGCGCCCACCTCCCTGGCTGGTGGCCGCCCTTCCAGCGCGGCAGCACGACTGTCACTTTCGGCGCCTCCCGCTGCTGCTTGGTTTCTGCAGCGTAGCCTGATCGATGTGCCTCCTGCACGGCTGCTCCTGCCGCCCCGCCCTGCGCCGTTCGCCACCCCGGGCGGCGGCCGACGGCGACGACCCCGCTGCCCCCAGACCGCCGGCAGCACCATCCAGGATGCGGCAAACCGTCTATCCTCGTCCTGGTCCTGGTGCGTCCAGGTGAACGTCTTAGGGATTTGAAATTAGAGGTGCGTCCTGGTCCGGCAATTACGTGATTGCAATTTCATTGCATCTCATTTTCATACACTAGCGCATTTGTGTACTTGCAGAATGGTGTTATTTCTGTTGACTCGAATTAAATTTTGCAGGAGAGGATCTTTTGGCGACTGCTGCTGACCAACCATTTCGCTTCCCTGCCACATTTACATTTGTGGTCAGAGCATTCTCAGGTTTCAATGTCTAATAGTTTACATGTTTACAAGGAAATTGTTATTATACTGTCATTCTACTCGTGCTTTCTCCGTTTTATGTAGTTCTAGATGGTATTGGGAAGGCCTTGATCCTAGGTTTTATATTACAGAGATTGCTAAGCCATGAGTACTTCCTGCATTACTAGCATATGTGAGTTCAGAATTATTAATGTATTATTTAACCAGAAAACAATTGGATATATGTTTAGAATTATTAATGTATTATTGAACTTTTTCTATGTTCCTTCATGCTGAACCAGAAAAGACAAGAGCAAACTTGTCCGCTGGATGATGCTGAGCCCAGGCAAATTCAGTTAGCCTGCACTGGAATCTACTCCTAAATGTTAAAACAAAATTTGACAGTGGGCAACTGCAATTTCAATGCGAGAAATCTGATCAAGTGAAACAGCCCTTATATCATAAAATTGTTTTCTTTCTTTGATACGAAACCTTTTTTTTCTGAAGTTCAATATCATCATAATGTGTCTTAAATCTTGCTCTTTATCACCAAGGGAGTTGCTGCAGGTAGTTTGGTGAACCTTGCAACATTGTTGTACTTCAATTCAATCCAGGTGAGTTTGTAAACAAACTGGAGTATACCATCCATCAAATTTCTAGCACATATTTGTTCTCATCACCTGATCTCCAAATCTTCAATAACTGTTGCAGGGACCAGCAACCATTGCATACTCCCTCTGCGCATTCTTCGGGCTGCAAGTTCTGATCGGGCGATCTTAGCGTCCTGCAGGGACGTACTATGAGCCTCTGGGTTCTGGTTCGAGGACGCATGGGCCAAGGTGATCCCAGGTACTGCATTCCTCTTGCCGTTTTCTGCCACCTGGGGAAGTGATTGTACTTTAGCTCTGATGCTCAGTGGGTGATACAGGATTGGGTGTTTAAATGACATGATCAATAATGCAATGAATTGGAAATGCTAATTGATTCCAGGTGTGTATGTAAAGAGAGCGCCAATTGCTGCTGGTTTGTTGTTGCAAATCTACAATAGATGTGAGTGATGGATTTGTACATGCAGCTTTGGAGGATTACTAGATGACATTTCTGTTGGTTGAGTAACAGATCAAAAACTAGAATCAAAACAAAGCATAAAAATTCGTTGGGGGTATGGTGTGTAAAAGTGCCCTTTTCAAATACTTTCAACTTGTTGGAATAATTGAACTTGGGGGCGCTTCAGCTCAGGTTCAACGATGAGTGTATACACAGTTTGTGATCCTTTCCTCTTGGATGTTGGATCTTGTTTAACTTCAGTGCATGCTAATGAGTCTCTGATAGTGTACTAAAATTCAAACGGACTCACTTACCTGAAATTATGATTTCTGTAAGCTTTATAAATGCCTTCAGTAATATAGGATTGTCAACCACTTGAGGTTTCTTGATGTCAATACATATAATAGTTTTTTTCTGGTCATATTCCAAAAATATGTTTTTTTAACCAAAGTAATTGTTGCTGTTTTGTTTCAGCTTACCTTTGTCTCTGATGAAGTACTTCCACCTGAACTGTTATACAATTATACTTTTGGTGAATAACATACACTCTCTATACCAACAGCTTTTTAAACTTTGGTCAAGTGAGTTATTTATATCCACTAACTCTTCTACTTTGTATAATCTTGTGGATCCTATAATAGATTAACTGGCTGACAAATCATTTAATTCTAAATAACTCTATGTTTGTTTGTGGGATAGAGAGGGTGATTTCTCAAACGATAAAACTCAACCCGACAAAGTGACAATAGTGACACCTACCCATACCACTGAAAGAGTGGTCTTGCATAAATAAATTTTAAACAATCAAATAATACACTCCTAAAAATATTTTTCCTCTTGAACATTAGTTTGCTTCAGATGGTGTATTTCGTTTGTGCAACCCCAAGAAACTTTAAGGAATGCTATCTTATTGATTGTGGAGATTTATGTAATTGTGCTAAAAAATCTATATTTATATATGCAGTTGGAATGCAGCATATGAGAGTCTGCTTGGATCAAATAAGCCATTTCCTGCAGACTGGCCTCCGTCTCATAGCACCAGGTTGCATGCAGATACGCCACATGCATATATATGTGAGTTAACATCTTCAGACCTGTTTGGGTACAATAGTGCTATCCAAACCAATGTTGTGTTTTTTATTGCCCACTAACGCATGTATTTTTATGCTTCTGTTACAGGTGGGTTTTGAAGTGCCATGCTTGCAGAGGTTCGTCTTGGAACAAATCTGACAATCTGTTTCACTATAGGAGGATGATTTCTTGGGTGTCAACATATATTTTTGCACAGTGGTGATAAGAAGGCACCACTGAAACCTCCAGTGAGGAAGGCACTCGCAATGTTCAGTGGGAAAAGAAATCCAAACGACCACCACTTTTCTCGCAAGAGGCACTAAGCTCTCATCTGTCCTCTTCTTTTATGCACGCCTATGGTACCATAGTTTGTAATCGCAGCATGTAATGGTTGAAAGCATAGTAACTTATTTCTTGTTAACGCGGAGAGTCATCATATTCATACGCAGAGATGAGCATGCAAGCTATGCAGTTTTGCAACATCTATGTATGGTTTCCGTGCTACTGTTTCTCCAATGGATTTGAATTTTGAGTTAGAATAACCCACTATTTACTTCATTTTCAAGAAACATGTTGGCCTTTGTTTTAGTGTTTATGAAGGGGCCATGACACATAAGACAGGATGAGTTAGGTCACTTAAAACTAAAGGCCAAAAGGCTAATTATAAAAACCTATACAAATTCTATCTTTACGTGCACTATGTTTTTTTAAGTGTTGCTATGGAATGAAAACTTTATTTATTGACTTAAATCTCTGTCGTTTTAGCTAGCTTAAGTCTTATTTTTCATTTCATAGTGTTGTCGTGGTCGTACAAAACAGCTTTGTTTAACGTCTTTTGATAGTTTTGAGGCATAAGTGCAACCATGATTTATCATTGACAATACTTTTCTATTTATTTTTTATCTTCAAACATCCTTTATGAAACATCAACCTTCTGTTGTGCTATCAAATTAGCAAGATTGCACAGCTATATCGTCACACGAGTTTCTAACACAAAGCCCTATATTTCTAACTCTATAAATTATTATGCTAAAAGCACTATATAATATATAGAATTACCGTAGCAATGCACCGGATATATCTCTGTGTTCAGACTTCAGAGACTCAGAGAGCAACTTCACGAGTGTCAAGAACGACGATAGCCACCCTGACACGTGGCACGTAGCCGGCAAACTATCTCTGTGTTTGATTTGAATGAAGATCGCTCGTCATGAAATCCAGCCCAGCCCAGTCCTTTCTCGCCACAACGCATGAGGCCCAACACTTAGGACCCACGCCGATTAGGCCCTTCCATTCGACGAGCTGATGACAACGTGCGTACAGGACGCCATGAGTAAAGGGACGAACTGTCCCATTGCAGTAATCTTCATGTCCAGTTTTGCTGTTTTGGTTGAATTCATAACATGGAGAAAAGAACAAGATGGAAATAAAACTTCAGGTAACAGTTGATGAATGAATATATATACATGGAGACAAAAATATATGTAAGTCTTGTCCGCTTATGTTGAGCATCTACGATAGCTCCTTAAAACAACTCACTAATTCGGTTTTCTGGTAAAAAAATAAAGAAAAAAAAACAGTCCTCCAACAATTTTGAACATAAGCACTTGGTAAATCTTCCATCAACTAACAGATACCCGTGTAATTTTCTGTACCATCATGTGAGGTGATTGCGATGATTTCGCCAATCTCAAGTTTTACTGGTCCAGCGATGTGCTCATCAAAAAGGTAATGTGTGGGTGCGTGTGTGTCCACGTTGGTATCCGACTAAGCACCTCCTGCAACGGTTTTTCCCCTCTCTTTCCTAGTTTTATTTCCCTCCACCCACCCAGTTTCCAATTTTATGAGTAGCATAAACCATTGAAAACTAGGGAAAGGCAAAAACATGGCTAACTATTTATTTTGTTCATTTGACATAATTATTAGTATAGCAGGCAAGTAATTTTTAAGGAGCTTTTGGAGATGTTGAGTCCTATTCTATCATCTATAATTCATAGCTGCATATTCACTTTTCGGGATGTCGTTGATGGATAGGAACTCGAATGGTCACAAAAATGTCTTGACTTGCAATTTCAGGGTCTATACATCTGTCAATGTTTTCTAGCTTGCAGATGCGTGTACCGATATTGTTTTATGTTAATGTCAGTTAGCTGACGATCGATGACCTCAATTTCTTCTGTTATATATATATATATATATATATATATATATATATATATATATATATATATATATATATATATATATATATATATACATGTCAGAATTCTTGATTTGATGTTTGCAACATCAATCATTCGGGCGTGGAAGACCATACTAAAAAATATCCAGAAAGATAAGATCGTGCGCGACGGAGGACAGTGCAAAATAAATATACAGTCACTCTACTGTAGCCAGGACAATTATTGAAGCACGCAGCTCTATCTAGCTGTCCAGACAACAGTAAAGGAGAATAATTGAAGACACCAGAAGACTTAAGCACGAAGTAACTCCAAAAGATAAGGATGAAGGACAATACAGAAGGCTTCCTTCACGCTATAAAGCGGGACGTTGGGTGAATTCATGGATCATCGGACTGAAGACCACCAGCATCAGACACCGCACTCTCACTCCACTCCACACCACCACTCCACCATCTCTCCACTCCCACATACACCATGAAGACTACGATCTCAGAAGAACTCCGAGAATCATCCACCACAAATAGTAATACTCCACTACCGTTGTATTACTCCACCATTATCTGTAAATTAGAATAAAGGAAGTCCCCGTGATCTTCCTGCATTTGTAAGGTAATTCCTAAGGTTTGTGCTAAGTGCTTGGGGTTTCCCGAAAGGGAAAGCCGTATGTAAGTTTGCTCTGTGGAAATGAATTAAGCTTTCCTGTTTTAATCCATGCCTTCATTTAAGCTCGTTTATATGGGGCGATGTCTCTATGCTAGGACCCTAGAGGAGAAACATCTGCGTGTGTTGTTCTCGTGTTAGCCCTGATAGCGGCGTTTGTAGAGAACCCTGTGTGCGCAGATAAGTGTTCCTTTCGGGTGGAACTGCCTGGGGATACGATAGAGCCTAAGTCCTGTGTGTGCATGGCTGGGGATAGCGAGGGAGAAGACCGGGTTAGCCTGGTTCTGAAGCGAGCTAGTGATGCATACGGTGAGTACCGAGTAGGACTGACATAAGCATAGTTGCATGACCTGCTGAAACATTGGTCTCGCCAGCCTGCAAAAGATCCTAAGAAATATTAATCCGCATATCACTAATCGCACGCATAACTAATCACTCACACATCCTGCATCCACCATTCACCCACCATATTTGCCTAGTGCTCCAAATAGTTGCAAAAGAGTTTGGGTGCATGAGCCACTCCCGGGTGAGTGCTCATGCACTGTTTATATTCCGAATTTAAATAGTAGTGAGTATTTTGAATAGTATCGTAAATTTTATATATATATATATATATATATATATATATATATATATATATAACAAAGTATGATGATAGCCACACGAATAAGAGAGAGACAGCTCCAGCAAGTTTGGGACGATGAGTTGCTTACCTCTCGATGGCAAATATGGCATACACCTTGCAGGTTGGAAGTCGTCCGAAGAAGTTATGATGCACCCTTCCTCAAATCCCACTGCTTGCTGCTCTTCTGTCCATGGTCAAGCCATTAAAGAGGTCCGCTTCCAGTGGCAGTGGCTCTTATCAGCCTGACATGATTACTCCCCCAGCCGCCGGTTGACAAGGACTTTGAACTTTTCAAGAAGAAATGGAGTCACCCGTGGGGCTAGTGGAAGACTTGGGGTCAAGCCACTGAATACAAAACCGGCTTTAGGCCTGTAGCCAGTAGCCACCGGCTCACCGGTTGTTGGCAAAGATGTCTTCGTGCTCGTGCCTAACATTTTCATGCCACAAGTTTGTTATGATATCTTTTTTTCAGCTGTTTAGTTTACTGCCGTCTATGGCAGGCCATACTCTGAGTATCATGTCCCACATGTTGTAGATTCATTTTCTTGCCAAACTTTGTCACAAGTGTAGCTTTAATTTTATTCGCCATACTTAATTAGGTTTGGGTGTGTGGCAAGGTTAGTCACCAACCAAGCAAGCAGTAGTGCCCAATATGCTTGGGTGCGGCTGTGCGGCCCAAGCTTACCTCCTCTAATCACTCCCCCCTAAAAAGCACTTGTGACTAAAGGACAGAAACATTCCTCTCATATTCATTTTATTAGATTTTAAAATGAATATTTGGGATCCTAAATGAATTCAAATGAAAAAGATCTGAACTATAAAGTTATATAGGTATTATCAAGCTATACAACTTTGGTTTTGGTCGTCTCTGCATAAGATGTCGTTTGACATTTTTATATTTTTAAAACGTCATAAATTCAAACATAATTTTCCTAGGATACATGGTTTCAAATGAAAGATTGTTAAATACAAATTGTATAGCTCTTTGAGATCTACGACTTTGGTTTTTGTCGTTTCTCCATCCGTGGTTGTTTGAAAAATTTGAATTTAAAAATTTGAGGAATTCAAAGATGATTTTTCTTGGACAAACAATTCCAAATAAAAAAAGTTGTGAACTACATAGTTGTATAGCTCTTTGAGATCTACATCTTTAGATTTTGTCGTTTCTCGATCCGATGTCATTCAAAATTCTAATTTCAAAATGTGAGCACTTAAAACTGAATTTTAGGACAATAGATTATTTCAAATGAAAAAGGTTATAACCTGCAATGTTTTAGATATTTTTGAGATCTATATATATTGGCCACCCTGACACGTGACACGTAGCCGGCAAACTCACTCTCTCTCTCTCGGTTTGAATGAAGGCCGCTCGTCATGAAATCCAGCCCAGCCCAATCCTTTCTCGCCACAAACGCATGAGGCCCAACATTTACTACCCACGACGATTCGCCCCCGTTCTATTTCTCGGCCCACCACGCTCACGCGTCACACGCCGGTTCGATTTCTGACCGTTGCGACCCGAACGGAAGGTTCCAAAATCCAAATCCGCCGCCCGGCTCCCCAGCCGCCTCCAACGTCTCTCCGCCGGCGCTCATCCCTACACATCCCCCCTCCCCTTCCCCTCCCCCAAGCCTTCAAACTCGCAGAGATCCCCAGCCCGCGCTCCGTCTCCTCGACCTCACACTAGCGGTGGGCACACAGCCACGCGCACCTAGATCGAGAAGTGATAGAGATCATTCCCCACGGCATGGCGGCGGCGACGGACGGGGACGCCCCGATCGCGGCGTTCGCGGTGGCCAAGGGCGGCGTCGTGCTCAAGCACATCTTCCTCAACGCGCCCCCGCAGGAGGCGACGACGACGCGCGGGGCCGCTGGCGGACGAGGGGTGGAGGACGGGGACGGCGAGGAGGAGGAGGACCCGCCGGTGATGGTGGGGCGGCACCCCGACTGCCACGTGCTCGTCGACCACCCCAGCGTCAGCCGCTTCCACCTCGAGCTGCGGTGCCGGCGTCGGCAGAGGCTCATCACCGTCACCGACCTCTGCTCCGGTGAGACGCCGGCCGCTCTGTTTCCTTTTCCCCCTTCCTCTGCATCCGCGTGTTGAGCTCGTGATCGCGGCGCTGGCACGGTTGATCCGATTCCGCGGACTGGGCTGGGCTGTTAGTCTTCGTTTCAATTGATTCCTGCTCGTTCGACTGTGGCGTGTGGTATTTGGGGGTTTCACTAGGACTTTAATACCTTATTGCACTTGGATCATCTCGGGATAGGATCAACGCTGCCTTGTTTGTTGCGGATTTGGGTTCAGATTTCCCTTTCAAAATTTCGTACAGAATTCTACTGTCACAGTCTTCCAATTTTCGATTGAAACGATGTGGAAGTTAACTCGGCGTTTTCCCATCGTTGTGGTTTTCATTTGATGCAGTGCACGGGACATGGGTGTCGGGGCGACGGATCCCACCCAACACGCCGGTGGATCTGGCCACCGGTGACACGCTACGCCTCGGGGCCTCTAAGAGGGAGTATAGGCTGCTCTGGCTATCGCTGCGTGAGGCATTTGAGATGGACGATCTGCTGTATATGCCATCGCTCCCTGAGGAGGACAAAGAGGAGCCCCATGCTAAGGTAGCAACTAGCAAATTCTCGTTTATATGCTCGTAGAATAAGTTGCTTTTTTGTTTTGGCGCTAGCTGTTGATTCCTTGTGGTCTAAGTGTTTGATGAAATGCGCAGGAACCAAGCAGCCAGTTAGTGCCTGGGCACAGGGATTCAGTGGACATGGAGACCCATCAGGTTTGTTCACAGCAAATCCGTATTACCGAATACCTGAAACTTTGTATGAAATGCTTATCAGTATGTTTAGAGCGGCAATCCTTGTTTATTGATTTGATAGCCTGAAACTGCAAAGTGGCAACTGATGTATTTTTTATTTTTTGGTATTAGTATGGTTATGTATGCTCTTCTTTGCATCTAAGTAATGGACCTGCTAGGTTGCAAATTCAAATGCAGCAATTTGGATTGCCTCAATTGTTTCCAATATTTGATGCGTTGACTAGTTCCTCCACTGTAGTAATCCTTGTATGCGTGTTCTATGAATATATAGCCACTTTGTGCTACAGGATTTCCTACATGCCACTTGAACTAGATTTGTTCTGTTAATCGTCACTGTTCAGTCAACATTCTCTTCTTAGTTGTTTACTGCATTGACGCTCCCATTTGGCGGTACCCGGTTGCCTAATTCCTATAAATATTATCAACTTTTTTCCATGCCTTGTGAATGCTGCATGCCTGCCTAGTGCTAAATTTGATTGGAAATAATTCTGTTGCCTAAATGAAATTTGTCATGCTGTACTGCCGTAGATTTGTTATTATTTGGGCACTTCATGGCAGTCGAAACACATTGTGCATGTGCATAGAGCCATAGAATAAGTGCGAACCTCTATTTGGTACATATTATTTTCTATGCTCCTGATTCTGTTGTAGTGTTGTGCTAAGTTAAATTTCTCTGAGATGACATTCCAGTTGTTTGTTTGCTTAGTTTGACAAATGATTTTTTTAAAAAGCCTGGGGGTGGTTTACCCCCAAGTTTTTCTTTCTAGCTTAACAAATGGCTTTTTTAATGGTAGGTGTGTGTAATTTTCAGCTTGTGTCAAGCAACCGTCTGTGCACATATGAATTCGCTTGTCTGCTTCTCTGATTGTTGTATTTCACAAGTTAAACACTCTGTTCTTGCATTTATTTTGTACTCCCTCCGTTCCAAATTATAAGACATTTTGGCTTTTTAAGATTCATAGCTTTTGCTATGCACTTAGATATACATTATGTCTAGATGCATAGTAAAAGCAATGTATCTAGAAAAGACAAAACGTCTTATAATTTGGAACGGAGGGAGTATGTTGAAGTCAATGCATATCAACACTTAAATGGGCTATCCATTATATAAACCAAATTTTGTGACCTTAATTTAGTGTAAACCAAGTCAACTATCTATGTGATGAGCTGACAATATATATCCATTATCCAATTCCACTTGTAAACATGTATGTCAGTTCTTTGGTTTTCAATATCTTTGGGTGTTACTGTTCCTTCCATGTCTTCAATTGTTTACATGAGTTATATTGTTCTGTTGTTTTCTTCCTTTTTTTTTGTCATAGAGATTTTCAACTTTGGATCCATTTTCTGGAATTGATTGCTAACTGTCTTATCTAATATCCAGAATACAAGTGAACAAATTGTGTCAGAAGACATTACATTTCCAGGCAAAGTGGCCCCCTCAGCACCTCCATTGTCTGACTTTGTTGATCCCTTTTTTGCGGAAGAGCCTTCGCTTTCCCAATTTCATGAGAAAAGAGACAGAGTGACAGAGGAAAAGTTGGTTGACAAGAATCAAATTTCAGAATCTTTTGGTTCATTGATCATACAGGAAATGGCAGGCACACTGACAAATGCTGGAAAATCAATCCAGTCAGACAAGCAGGATGCCTCAAACAAAATGTCCAAGAGGTCCAAGTTGAAGTCAGTCAAATCACTTCGTGTTGACACAGGCAGGAGCAGGGATAGAAGCAGCACTCTGAGCCATAGCATTCAGAAGGGAGACCAAAATGAGATTATTGTATGTTCTCAGAGCTGTGGGACAGAATGCGCTGCCTGTATAGCTTTATTTGGTATTTCTGAAGTTGAAAGAGCTGAAGAAAAGGAAGAGTTGATTGCTGAAGATAAGGTTGACATGAATCCCCCAGCCAGCATGATCATGGAGGGAAGTATGAAAGAGAGAGAAACTGAGAATTATATCCCACAAGATCCAGTTGATGCAAAGCTGCAGAAGAAACTAGGCTTGTTAGATTCTGCTCTCCCTTTGCATTTCAAAGATGATGCATTAACTGACAAAGTAATTCCGCAATGGAATGGTGCTACTGTTCATACAGAATCTGAGCTTGTTTCAGAAAATCTTATAATGCCAGAAATGAAGCACGATGGTTTGAACCATCTTAACTTGGAGGGAGGTCTCTCAGAAAACGAGAGTATGGACCCAAATAACAGTGCTGAGGGTCCTGGGAACTGTCCGCTTGAAGGCACCATTTGTGGGAATCTATTTGACAATTTGGATACTGAAGGAATTGAAGAAGATGAAGAGCTCTGCCCACTGGACAAGGATGAAATCACCCCCAATGTATCAGGTAACATAATAATGGAGAGGAGCCATAGAGATAGAGGTCTGAAGCCTACCATTTCCCAACAGTTGATGGATTCCATTTCCCCTCTCAATTTAGATCATGACGATTTTTCTGAAAATGAGAACTCCAAGCTGAACACTGGAGATCAGATGAAATCAAATGAACCTGTCTCTGAGAATCTTAACGCATTAATGCCCATTTCACATCTGGAATTCAAAGATGACATCCTTCTGGATATGGAAAACTCGGTGCCGGCTCTGGGAAAGTCTGAGGCTATGTTCCCTGTGAGGCAGGAAAATCTGTTCTCAGACAAGGAGAATGTGACTCCAGCCTCTAAGGTGAAGACCAATGTTAGGAGAGTTCTTGGTACAAGGATGGATAATTCAGTGTCAGCAGCAAATGCTTCAAATAAGAAAAAAGTTCTTGGGTCGAGGGTGGATAATTCAGTGTCAACAGAGAATAGTTCAAATAAGAAGCAATGCAGTGAATTATCATCAAAGTCTGAAAAATTCCACACAGTAGACTTTGATGTTTTCTATTCAGATAAGGAGAATTTGACCCCTATAGCTTCAGGAGGCATGAAAGCAAGGAAGTGTTTTCCCAAGGACCTCTCAGTCGACTTAGATCAACATCAGGAAGCATTCTGCTCAGACAAGGAGAACTTGACACCACTATCTTCTGCAGCTCTGAAAACAAGGGATATGTCTGAAAACCGTACACGTCTTGAAAGTGCAATCACGAAGAAAAGGGTTGCTGATAGGCTCCCCTTCCAGACTCTTCTGTCAAATTCTCCTTTGAGACCTGCTACCTGTGCTGTTGCTAGGCCAGCTGACATTGCTGCTGGTGACTTGGTGATCAAGTTGGAAGATAAATTCAACAATCTTTCAGTAAGTTATTGGAGTGATTATATCTGTATGCTCCATATGAATGCCTTTTTGTTTTAGTATCGCATCTGACATGACCAAATCTTTATGCTGGGCAGTGTAATAACCAAGAATCAGGTAGTACTGGACAAGGTATGAAAACCTGGACCATGGTGGCTAATACAGACAGTCTTCTTGATGACGAATCTAGGAAGGCTATTATGCTGTTAAGAGGCCTAAAAGGAACTCATCTGTTCATACCGAGGATTGGTAAGTTCATTGCCAATCACCAAATGTTTTGAAGCTTGAACAAATGCTTGCTTGCATGTATCATTATTCTGTTGTTTGCTTGCTTACTGTTGATTATGATACTCACTACTCCATCGCAACAGTCAACCTATGCTTATAATGTTCACAACTTAAGGGCTGCTCGCTTCTGCATTTTTTACATCTTAACTGTCCTTTCAGGCTGTTAACCGATGCTTCATGTGCTTTGAATGCTATTACCTCACATTTTACCAATTGGTTTAATCCATCTTGCCTGTGATATCTGCATTGCGTGCCCCTGTTTGATTGTGGCACAGCTCTACTTGCACTTGCCGACTGAATTACTAGTTTGTGCTACTTCCAGTTGCTAACTGAAGTACTACGTTTCTCTTGACTGTCTCCACAGTGATCAGGGAGTTGGATTCCATGAAGCAGCAGGAGGGCCTGTTCCGACGGTCAACGAAGGCGACCTCCATCCTGCAATGGATCGAGGAGTGCATGGCAATGGAGAGCTGGTGGATCCATGTCCAGAGCTCGGCCGACATGTGCCCGGTGGCGCCAACCCCGCCCGCGACCCCTTCGGCGCAGCGCATCGACGAGGAGATCGAGATCGGCTCCGGTTCCTTTCAACCCGATGGCGTCGTTCTTCTCCCCGCGAAGCTCCGCGCTCGCGGACATCGCCTCTCCCAGGCCCGAGGACCGCGTCCTCGACTGCGCCCTCCAGTTCAGCAGGCTCCGGAGCGGCGAGAAGGTCGTCGTCCTGTCCAACAGCGTCACTCTCAAGATCAAAGCCATGGCAGAGGTACGGTACCATCATAGTCTGTCTGCTGTGCGTAACCATGTCTGTCTGCTGTGCGTTCGGACTGAAACTGGTTGGGTTTGTTGCGTTGCGCACGCAGGGCTTGCCTTGCGAGGAGGCGAAGGAGTTCCGCGAGTCCCTGATGGACCCGTCGTCCAGGCGGTTCATGTGGGCGGCCAGCGCGCCGCGGGGGTCGGCCTGGTCGTGCCTGGACGCGTCCGCGCTGGCGGAGAACTACTACAACAGCCACCACCACGCGATGAGGCGGAGGGTGGTCCCGGCGAGGCCCGCCCAGGCCGCCAAGGGCCTGAAGCTCATCCTGCGTCACAACTCCCTGTACGCGCAGGCCACGACGGACGCCGCCGTCAACAAGACGACGCCGCTGGCATCGCTCGCCTCGGTGTGAGAGTGAGACCCTCGGGGCCGCCGGGCCGGGGCCCAGGGGCAGCAGTTTCGCTTGTGGGGAATGACTTGGGTTTTTTTTAACATGGAGTTATTTTGCCGGTGGTAGCGTTTTTTGCTGGGCATGATTTCCATGCCGAGGGAAACCGTGGGCAGACTTTGAACAGAACATTGTCAGTGGTTTCGTTTGGGCCATCGATGAGTTGAGTTGGGTTGAGTTTTGAGCCTTTACGTGTGTTATTATAAAAGATGATCGTGGTCTACGTGCCACTAAAAAATTCGAAAGCACTTATATGTCATGGCACTTTACTTTTTTTTTTTTTGCCTCCCAAGCCCTGACACGTGGGCCCAATCAGTAAAAACGTCCAAAATGCCCTTCTGTCAAGGCGTAAATTGCTCTCTATATTTTTTTCCCCATCGGCATCATCATCCGACCGCGCGGCCCTCTCCACGATGCGCCAGCCTCCCGACTCCGGCGAGCCTGGCTCCCTTCTCCCTCTCACATTCGCGATGTGCTGCGCCCGCGCCATGATGCGCGGCGGCGCGTCTGCTGCGCGCGGCCCGCCCGATGGGCCCGTCCGCCGACCAACGTCCGCCGCCGCCTTTGACCTCGCCCGACGCCGCCACGGGCCCTAAGAAGAAGGCAGCACGGTCGAGGCCTCGCTCATGAGCTTCGCGGCTTCATGCGCAGCTGCTCCAGCGACAAGGGGCGCGCTGGCCTCGTCCCAGCAACAAGTCAAGCGCCGCTTCGCCGAGCCTCCACTAGCGCGCTTCATGCCGGTGACCACGCGTCACGCCCGTGCCTTGCCAGCTCCTCCTCCTCACTGCGCCGGGCGGCTTTTCCCTCCCGCTTCTCTGCGTGTTCCTCGCCCTCGCGCCCTCCGCTTATCTCTGCTCGCTCATGTTATCTGCTGGCAAGCTTTTCCTGGATGGTTCCGCGCCATGCATGCATGCAGGTTAGCCTCCCATTGCTGTCTTCGTCTTGCCCTCGTGTCCGGAGGCGCGGTAGGTCGTCGAGGGCGCGGCGGCGAGGGCGCGGCGGCGCGTGTCTTCGGCTTGAGGCGGCCTTAAGCGCGCACGACAGCTGGGCCGGGTCCGACGAGTTCAGGTGGGCAGGGAGCTTGCGTCTTGGCGCGATGCGGCCCACGCAGGGCGCACACACAGTCGACCATCATCGCGTCGGTTGGCTGTGGTGGGGCGGTGGAATCGGCTGGGTGCCGTCGGTGGTGCGGCGCCAATGATGGAGGTACGCGGCAATGAGCTTAGGCTCTCGCCGACCTTGACGCCCACGAGGCGGCTCGCCTCCGCCCGGCCTTTGCCTGCCAGACGGTATCTCCCCCGCTCCAGGCTCCTCGGCTCCTCGCCCAAGCGGTGGAGGACAGAATTTAAGACGACCGGCGGAGGAAATGAAGAAGGACACGGTGAAAGAAGCAACGTGAGGGTATTTGGGACTTTTTTCAATGCAGATTAACACCGTTAGATGGAAGAGACGGAATGACTTGAAACGTAAAAAAAAAAAAGTATTATAGCACGTAGATGCGATCTAACTTTATAATGGCACGTGGACCGAGACTATATTATTTATATTGGCGGAGAGGTAAAAGGCTCTTGAGTTTTTGCCGGCGCGCTAGCCTGCGGCTGCGGGATTGCAGATTTGCAATGGCAAGAGCTGGCGCGGCGCACGTGGACATGTCTGTACGGGTTGGTTGCGACGAGGACGGGCGGCAGTAGAATAATGAATGGTCCGGATATCGTGTTGCTCCGAGCAGAATCTTACTGTCGAGGAATGTCTTTCCGTGTAGAAAAATTGGCGTGCCATACCCCATGAGCTGTAGCCTGTTGGGGCTTCACGTGAAGCACCGCAAAGCTGGATGCAAATCCGTGCGTGTGCCGGAGATTAGTTAAAAATCGCGTCAAAGAAAGAAGGCGCTGGTAGCGGGTGTTTAGTTCGTGAATTTTGGTAATTTGCTATTGTAGCGTTTTCGTTTTTATTTAACAATTAATGTTCAATCATGTACTAATTAGGCTCAAAACGTTCGTCTCGTAATTTCCAACCAAACTATATAATTAGTTTTTTTCGTCTATATTTAATGCTTATACACGTATCGCAAGATTCAATGTGATAACTACTGTAGCACTTTTTTAAAAAACTTTTTGAGAACTAAACAAGCACCTAGCCCCGGGCAGGGTTTTTGGACTGTTTGTTAGTGTTGTTGAATGGGTCATCCGTACAATGGACACCCAGGCCACGCAGCGGTTAGTGCCTTATTTAGATTGAGGCTTAGGAATCAAGTATTGGATATTATAGTATTTTTGTTTGTATTTAACAATTATTGTTTAATCATGGCCTAAACAGACTCAAAAGATTCGTCTCGTAATTTACAATCAAACTGTATAATTAGTTATTTTTTATCTATATTTAATACTTTATACATGTGTTCAAAGATTTAATATAATAAAGAAAAAGTGAAAAAACTTACAATCTCAACGAGACCTAGGCTACGGTCTAGCCTCTAGGAGGAGGCTAGTGAGCGTGCAGACACGACGCGAACTACCCCTTGATCCGGTCTGCCCCCATCGCATTCGCATGTGTAGCAGGCTCACAGATCACAGTCACCTTCCGTTGCCCACGGAAGGCAAGCTCCTCTCATGCCCATGCCAGCCTGTGTTCTCCTAAATTTCGCATAGGAAATTAGTGGTACGTTGTCGTTATCAATTGTTCGTTTAAAATGAGAAGACTGGTAGTTCCATGTGCGCACCTGTGACCCTGTCTGACATGCTTTACTGCACGCCCATACCATGAATGTTGTAGCAGTACGAGAGTACCGTGTGTCATCTGCCGTGGATATCTGCGTCGTCCCGGTAACAATGTTAAGTTTTACAGCTTGCCTTGCCAGCCCCATATAAACTTAGCGCTACGCGGTTGCTCGTAAAATCATTTGTGCTAATTTATATAGTTAATTTATTGAAAGAAAAAAAATACTATATCATATCTTATAAACCGAATTACAAGTACCAGTAAGGTCAAAGCTACGAGCCCGGCTAATGAGAGAACCACAGTGCCTCCTGGCAGTAATAATTGTACACACGGTTTTGACTGTGATGAGGGACCGGACTGGCGGACGGCACGAATGGAGCTCTCTCGGTCAACGGATCTGACGACGACTTAACCCCCCCTCTCTCTCTCTCCGTTTCCCACTCGCAGTTGCTGTTTGACCAAGTCGTGTGTGTAGCGCGACGCGGAAATCGTAATCGATAGCTCGGTCAGCCCCGGAAACCGCGCTAACCCCAAGCCCCGAAGCTTCAGATTGATGACGAAACAAATTGAACCCTTCGTGTTGTACGGACTACAAAATATATGTGCTACATTTAAGACGGTCGCCGGTACACTTGCCTTTGGTTTCACATCAACTCAATGCAATCAACAACAACAAAAAAAAAAAACGCGCGTTTTGCCTCGTCCCTGTATTTTGTCTTTGATTAATGAAAATTTACCCTTTCGAAAATGCAATCAACAATTTATCACAGTTTCGCACGCTCTCTATTCTCTTGTTGCACGCATGCATACATGCAACAAGTTGTTGCAAGTTGCAACTTTTTCTCGTGGCTGTCGTCACTCAGCTCCGGCTATGCAAGCCAGGACAGGATGCTCATGGCCTACGAGTGTTACTACTTTTATACCGTATATATAGTTTTATATCTGACTAAAATGGTACGTGTATATTAAAAGGAAAATGCAAATTCCCAAGGACCACCAGTGCAGTGCTACAAAGAGACACTCGTTGGTCCTCCGCTGGGGCCCAATGGAGAGCCAAGATATCTCACGCAACTCGCTGCTTGCATTGGGTCAACGAGGAAGACAACAGTGCCAAATTCCTGCAAGGACGTCATTAGGGTTTTAAAGATGGATTAAAAACACTACGTCTCACTCGGAGAAGGAACGTTTTATAGGTTTAGTCAAAGTCAAACGGTCGTGAGTCTGACTAAGTTTTAAAAACATATCCATATTTATGATGCTAATTAAATTAGCACCATTCAATTATAGTATTATATAGTAGTTTCATATAGTAGTACCTAGTTGGTGTCATGAATGTATGTTAATATTTTTCCCTATGAATTCAGTCAAGATAACAACAGTTTAACCTTGACTAAAATTTTAAGGTCTTTCTTTTGGGAAAATGCACCTATGAGTTATGTATTGTTTCTAGCTTTCAAGAGCTACGGAGGCTAAACTGTTAGACGATGGAGGAGTTGATTTCCTCCTTTGCTAGATACTCCTGTGTCACCTTTTATCAAGGACTAAACATGCCCTTAGCGTACTTGAGCCACATTAAATGTTCAAACTATTTTAAGTTTGACCAAATTGATAGAAAAGTGACACCAAATTAGTATCACCACGTATATTGTCAAATATATTTTCCATAATATACCTTATTTTGGTGTCATAGATGATGTTACCTTTTTAATGCAAACTTAATCAAAGATAAGATAGTTTGACTTTATGTTATTCTTGAATTGATTTATTTTGTGATGGAGGTACTAGTTTGTGTTTCTTTTTTACTAGTTACCCATCCTTAGTTTCATAGATGGGTGACATGATTAGCCTTTTCTAAGCTTCACACATTTAAAAATGTGGGGAACAGTATGCTTGTCTCCTTAACCATCATTACTGCAGTCTGGCTATGCAAAACAGGGTGCTCATGTGCTGAAAAAAGGTGGTATATTAAAAAGTGCAAGTCCCAAGGAATATGCCTCGCTCTAATTTGTCCAATGGAATGAGTCACTGCAGGAACAAACAAAGCCCACGAGGTACGTAGAAAACAACCAAGTGTGCTTGACAATTCCAAACAAAACGTTTGTATTCATCGCTCACTTCTTCTCACTGCCGTCCTTTGTCATCCGCTGCCTCTTTATGAATGAAACGGTGAAACACACACCCGTGAATCCATATGTGTTTCTCGCCATTGTTCAGCTGTTACTAGGATGAGATCATAGAAGGCCAAA